CTTCCTCTCCCCACAACAGACACCCTGTGAGGTAAGTGGGGCTGAGAAAGCTCTGACAGAACCATTTTTGAGAGAACAGCTCTGAGAGAGTTGTGACTGACCCAAGGTGTTTGGAGAGCCAGTTTGGTGTTGTGGTTAAGTGTGCAGACTCTAATCTGCGAGAACCAGGTTTGATTCCCCCCTCCTCCACTTGCAGCTGCTGGATGACGTTGGGCAAGCCATAGTTCTGTCAGAGCTGTTCTGAAAGAGGTTTCTGTCAGAGCTCTCTCAGCCCCACCTACCTCACAGGGTGTCTGTTGTGGGAAGGGGAAGAGAAAGGAGTTTGTTAGCCGCTCTGAAACTCCGAGTGAAGGGCAGGGTATAAATCCAGTCTCCTCCTCTTCTTCTCTTCTAGCTGACTTCATGTGGAGGAGTGGGGAATCAAACCCAGTTCTCCAGATTAGAGTCCACAGCTCTTAACCACTACTCCAAACTGGCTCTTGGGCAGAATAGTGCTTACCTTGGAAAAATCACAGCTCTTCTCCCACATTTATACATAGGGAATTTATTTCACCTGTAGCTGGGCAAAAGTTTTTTTAGAGGCAAAGTGGCTTCTGTTGTACCCAGTCATTAACTCCAGCAAATCCAACCACTAATTTATTTACTTCATTTATAGAAGAAGAAGAGGAGATTGGATTTATACCCCGCCTTTCTCCCCAATGTGGACCCTTACACTGTTCCCCCTTCTTCCATTTTAACCTCACAACAACCCTGTGAGGTAAGTTAGGCTGAGAGAGTGACTGGCCGAAGGCCATGCAGCTAGCTTCCCTGGCACGAGTGGGGATTTGAAGCTGGGTCTCCCAGATCCCAGTCGGACATTCTAGCCACTACAGAAACCTGGCTCTTAACCACTCTGTTAAGGTCCTTGTGTACCTGTGATTGCTTTCACCACCACATCAGAAACTTCGGGAATTTCCTCATCAACAGGGACACACAGCATCTGTGAAGTCACCCAATGCAAAGCCCTGCAGGGAGACAGAGAGAAAAGCAGTGAGATACTCTGCCACCCACCGTGGAAAGAGCAACAGAATGGGAAATGCAGTAACACCCAGCTCCCCTACCCCGCCCCCGGACAGCAGCGCTGTGTAAAGGCTACCCAAATTCTGCATTCAGAAAAGCAAAATGTGGTGAACTGCATACAAATGAGGGAAAGCACTTGTGGGTGGTATAACATAAAATACAACAGAACAGTTTTGTGCGTTTTATTCGGCTAGTCTGGAGGCAGCGACACCAAATCCCCTGACCACAGGAAACCTTATTCCTTCCACTCCTTTAGAGCTTTCAAGATGCCCCCGGCACTGGCCATAAACTCCGCCCCATAAGGACTAGAGACTTTAAACAAACAAGGACCAAAATGAAACCAGGAGCCTCAGAATGTGGTTGTTACCACATTGTGGCACCATACCAGGTAAATTTGGACTTGCAGGCCACTATACCAACCTTTTGGGTATGGTGGCCTGCAAGTCCAAATTTACTTGGTAAGTTTTATACAGCATTCCTAGGAAGTCTCCCATCCAAGGAACTAACCAGATCCAGACCCGCTTAACTTCAGGGAGACTCGCACCAGATGCTCTCTGGGACCGGCCAGGTGCAATGAATCCGTCTGGAGTAGGGCCAAGGCATGTTCCCAAAGCCAATACCTGATTCTCTTTTGAACAGCAAGGTCCTTCTTCTCATCCTCAGTAGTTTCCGGGCAGAAAACATACTTATATAGACGGGTCATGATGTATTTCTCAATCTGGTCCATCGCCATTTCCACTTTTTCTGGGGACACTGAAAGGAGGAAACACACAAAAATATATATTACCACAACGCAAACAGCTTTCCCTGCAATCTAAGGAACCATCAAGCAGAGTTCACATGAGGTGCCAACTGCATTTCAAAAAAAGCACCCTCTGTGCTTTCAGTTTTCTAGGCAGGGCCAAAGGCTCCTTGGCACATTAAGTTCGCAAAGGATTATAACACAGGAGTTTCCCTTCCAGGAATGGGTCAGGCTTGCTTCCAAATCACAGCTTTTCTCTTGGAAAAAAGGGGCAAGCTGTTCCCCAACCTCGCCAACCCTTTCAGGGGCAGAAACTGGGTTTTCTTGGATCAAACACACCCTGTCTGTGGCAAGGCTGGGGAGTCCCCCTGGCAGCAGATCAGACACAGAAAGGGCAGGTATGAATCGTCAAAAGAATGGGGGCCCGTCCCTCTCCTTCCCTCTCCCCTCCGAGCCCTCTTGGGGAGATGGCAGTACCTTTCCAGCGGGCGTGCAGCTTATCCGCCACATTCTGATAGAAGTCCTGGGTGTATTCGGACTGTTCTTCGATACTCAGATCCTGCAAGAGGAGAGCATCAACTAAGCGCACGGGAACTGGCAGAAAAATTCCAGCTGCATCCCCACCCTTACAGAAGCTACACCCCCACACACACACCCACACACTAGGGAACACAACATACCTGTTGACACCCTTCTCTTTCATTAGCTGCTAACCTGCACTGTTGAAGCTCTCCCCTTCTTCATGTCCACCTCATCTCCAGCTCCTCTCTGGCCACCCTGTCCTCCAGGGTCACCACCCCCATTCGGCACAGATCCATCTGCGATCAACTCACTTTCCCCTTCCTGCATCCCAGCGCCTACGGCAGCACCTCTTGGGTGGCTCCTTCAAAGCCATTTCCTAGGACTGCAACTCAGCAGCCCAGAGTGGGCAGGATCAATCCCTGGCATCTCCAGTTCAAGGACCCCTTGGAGCAGATGTTGGTCAAGACATCTCAGTCTGAGATTCCGAGGAGTCCACAGTCAGCAACACAGAACTCCAAGGGTTCGACTCGACATAAGGCAGCTTCACAGATGCACCATAAAGAATCAGTTTCTGAACAGGAGAACCAACACATCTGCCTTGAGAGGAATCAGACCCAGGGTGCCCTGACCTGGATAGCCCAGGCCAGACTGATCTTGTCAGATCTCGGAAACTAAGCAGGGCTGGCCCTGGCAAGTACTCGGATGGGTGACCTCCAAGGAATACCAGGGGCATGACGCAGGGACGGGCAATGGCAAACCACCTCTGAAAAATCTCTTGCCTAAGAAACAAGTCTGACTCACCATCTAGTGGTGCAAAATGCTAAAAGCTAGAACTTCCAGCTGCCAGACCATCTTAGGATCTCCTGGCTATACTACACATAAGGCCAAACGATAATTATTATTATTATTAGACCCGGGGTCTGCCTAGCTCAGGCTTGCTTGCTGCAGCTGGAAGAGGAAAGCCTTTGCCAACACTTCATCCATCATGACCTTTTCACTGGAGACGTGGCCGAGGATCAAACCTGGTGCACTTCACCACTGAGACAGGGAAGGCAAGGGGGGGGGGGAGAAGATGGAGTGGCTGCCTCCCTCAGTTCCGTTCTGGCGGGTGCTTTCCGCTTCCGTCAGGTTCCACTTACAGGCCCTATCATGCTCTTGGATGTGTTGCATGTGCGCCCCCCCCCAAATGAGCAGCAGAGCTACAGGTCTTCATGTCCTGAACCCTTCACAGGAGAGGACACCACAAACCACAGACATCGTTAAAAACAGCAAAAAGCTCTCCAAGCCTACTGCAAGCTTCACTCAACGGAGTGAAGAGATACAGAGGGAGTATGGGCCTGGGGTGAGGGGAAGAACCCCAAGAGAAACCGAAATTTCTTTGTGATACCTTAGAGGTCTACGCATAGTTCATAAGCTCAACGCAACAGAACACTCCCCTTTGTTTTATAACTATACTGGTAGCATCTATTTTCAGGGTGTTGTTGTTGTTTTTTTAATTTCCCTCTCATTTGCCAACTGACAAAAAAAAAAGAAAAGAAAGGCCTTCTGAAGCATCCCTACAATACGGCAGCTTGCAGCACCATCTGGGCCTATCTGTAATTATTCTCTGATTCAATGCTAAAAAACGTACTTCCCCCCCACCCCTCCTGTAAGTATACTGAAGAACATTGTATTCTACCTGAGAACTGGAAAGAGATTTCTAGAGGCATCGAGGATTTCTAGCCCATGTCTTTGACGGAATTTCCAAGGCAGGAAGTAACAAAGAAGGGAAAATTGAGGGGTTTTTTTTCCAAAGGATGGAATGTAACCTCCATACGCAACGGCTGTGTCCATCAGAACGCCAGTTGCTTGGGGTTCACAGTTAAGGGCGGCTGTGCCCTTTGTGTGATGGTCATTGGTTTCTTAAAAATAATGCTTCACTGAATGGGTGCCAAGGTCATCGTTTGCCTAGAGCACCAAAAAACCTTGGGCTAGCCCCGGATGAGTCACCATACCAAGTAAATTTGGATTTGTGGGTCACCTTGCCAAAAAAATCAGGAACCGCTGCTTTATTTTTTTTTTTTGAGCCCCCAGAGAGGATTTTTTATTATTTTTTATAAGACTACAAAACTACTACAGAAAAAAGGGAAGGGGGACTACATATATAGGATAAAGCAAAGAACCCACTACTAACTAAAAACTCAAGAGAGGAGATCCTCATTAGCTTAGTTATAACAAATCTTCATTTCATTTAGATTATTATAAACTGAGTCAAACATTTATATTACTTTTCTTTTTCTTTAAATCTTAAATGTAACTGTCTAGAAACAGGACCCCCAATCATCCCACTTCAAAGTTCTCAAAGGCACAATTCAGAGTCCTTCAGCCTTCACTTCTCTTTTCCTCGTCTCTTCCGCAGCTTATAAGGACTGGAACCGCTGCTTTAAATTGTACATCTCTATTCTCGCTCTTAAGTCAGGCAGTCCTGAATAGTTTGCAATTCCCCCCACCCAAAAACAGCCTCCAATTCCCATTCTGATCCCACCACCACTTCAGGAAAAGTGCACACACACTTGCCCCAATCCGGGAACAGCCGAAGGAGAGTGAGAAACCTGGTGCCCCTCTCGCTCCAGCTTGCAGGGAGACCTACCCGCTTGTGATGCATGGCTTCCAGAAAGAGTTTGCACTGCTTGTAGATCTCCTGCCCAGGTTTGTGGTAGGTCTTCAAGAACTCACAGAAGTCCTTGGACACTCTGTCCGTTTCAATACTGACTTGCCTGCTTATCGGACTGGCAGCCTTGGCTTCCTGGACTTCTGCAGGGGAGAAAAGGGCCCAGCTGTTAGCAACAGGTTTACTAGCCGGGTTTACTTTGTGCAGCTTGCGCCAGAGAAGGATTACAGGAGAGCTTTTCAGCTCAGGGGTCATGCAGAAGTGCCCTGACTTCAGTCCCTGGCATCACCCTCCAGCAGAGGCCTTCCCAGCAGCGCATGGCAAGCCAATGGCCTGATTCTGCACAAGAACCGGCCTCACATGGAATCAGACCACCGAGCCATCTAGATTAGTACAACAACTGGCAGCAGCTCTCCAACAACAACAAAGGTAAGTCTTTCCCAGCACCTGCTACCAGAGATCTTTTTTTGGAGAAGGTGAGTATTGTGTGTGTGCGCGCGCATTTGCAAGCCTGGAAGTCATGGCGACTTCTGGCGACCCCTAGTGGGACTCGGACATTTCAGAGAAGTGGCTCGATAACCTGCTCCTGCACCCCAGCCCTGGTATTCCTTGGAGGTTGCCCTTCCAAGTACTTGCCAGGGTTGGCCCTGCTTAGCTTCCGAGATCGGGCTTGCCTGGGCTACCCAGGTCGGGGCTTGCCAGAGATCGTTGCCAGAACTGAAACCAGGGTCTTTCCGCAAGCAAAGAATATGCCTCCAAGCTGTGAGTTCTTACAAGATTCCTCTGCTTGTGTAAAGAGAATGCACGAGCAACGTCAGAACTGTACAAGAACTTTGATGGCTCCCTGCAAGTGGGCACCTGACGTTTTCCCAAAGAGTTTAGAAGCTGAACATGCAGATCTCCCACCCTTGCTCCTCCAGGTTACGTAGAGGTCAGCATGGATCCACGGGGGCATTTCTAAGAGGCTGTAGGCCGATCGGATCCCTGCACACACCACTCACTCCGTTGGACCCTCGCGCCTGCACCGGCTTCTTCCCCTATCTGCTTGGCAACAGCAGGAGGGCAGCCAGGCATGGTCTTCCTGCACAAGGCCGAAGAGGGAGGTGTTAAAAGCAGCCAACCGGGAAGGCCGCTAGACTCCTGGACAGATGGTCGTGGTCCCTGCCTCTACTCTTCCACCCACACTCAGTTTTTTCGAGGCGGAATTCACAGGCCAGTTTGAAGGGTGTTGTGGAAACTGTGAAGCTAGCCTCTCCTCCGCAAGGGGTGTGTGTGGAATTCTGAGAAACTGACAGGTTGGTGATTTACAGCCATGTCAGTCCAAAAGAAAAATCCAAGAAGTCAAGAATGCAAATCACTGTAATGCCTCTTATTAGGACCCACCCAGTGACATTTTGCAGGGGGCGAGCTTTCAAGTTCCCCAGAACTCTTCCATCAGGCCAGTTATGAACAAAACAACTTTAAAAGAGGGAAAGAAGCAGTTGTTTCTGGAGCAGAAAGACTGAGCCCGTGGCCTGCCTAAGGGTAAAACTGTCACCATGAAACGAAGCCCGGCCTTAGCTCAACTCTCCCCTTTCTGATGGATACGGGTTCAGGATCCCTGCCTTATAGATCAGTCTACGAGGGAACCACCTGCAGACAACCTATGCAGAAAGGGAAGAGCCAGTGTGGGGCACTGGTGAGAGTGTCAGGCGAAGATCCAGGAGACTCGGGGTCAAATCCCCCCTCTGCCATCGTTGTCTGCTGGGTGACCTTGGGCCACTCCCGTACTCTCAGCCTAACCCACCTCACTGGCCCATTGCTGAGAGGACAAAAGGGAGTCAAGGAGAACGATGGAGGCCACTTTGTGGGCGGGGTATAAATGTGTCTCCCACCTTGCGGAATGGCCTGACGGAGGAGGTCAGGAAAGCTTCCCCCTCTCCTGCGATCGATCCAAAACTGAACTATTCAAGAGGGCTTTTCTGCATGGGCAAGAAGGAGAAGAGAAGAGGCTGGATTTATACCCCACCCTTCACTACCCGAAGGAGTCTCAGAGTGACTTACAATCTCCTTTCCCTTCCCCTCCCCACAACAGACGCCCTCTGTGAGGTAGGTTGGGGCTGAGAGAGCTCTCTCGAGAACTGCCCTTGATAGAACAGCTCTGAAAGAAGTTGTAACTGACCCAAGGTCACACCAGCAGCTGCATGTGGAAGAGGTGGGAAATCAAATCCGATTCTCCCAGATTAGAGTCCATACCACGCACTTAACTACTACACCAAACTGGGGCTTTTCTGCACGGGCAAGAAGGCTACACCGTACAAAATGGTTCACAAACTGACTTGGATAAACAATTGGGACTTGTGGCCTATGCGCCTGTGTCTAGTGTATTGTACATAGGACCCTGTTATGCAATTTCTGCCCTGCTTAATGTGTCACGTGAATACTAATGCTACGCTGGCAGTAGTTTCTGGTGCTTCCAGACTTCTAATACTGTAATCAGTGACTGAATGTGCCATTTTGTTGACTGTGCTCACTCACAATGTGCAATCCGCCTTGGGTCCCTGTGAGAAAGGCAGACTACAAGTAATGTAAATCAATAAAATTAAGATAATTCAAACATCACTGCTACAACAGAAAGGGGGTAAACCTTGAGAGACTGGCCACCTGGGTCTGTGCATTTCCCAGAAAGACTATCACCTGCCAAGATTTGGGATGCTGTGGCTTTCAGTGGCCACCTTGTAAGCAGGCTGTTCTAACTGGCTACTTTTCGTCTTTGAGATCACGCATTGGTCCAAGGCATTCCTATGAAGACATGGGATGGGTTCAAATGTGCCCCAAAGAATCCTCTTCCTGGCTGACCTTGGGGGTGGGTGAATGGGAGACAGCGCGCACACGGAGAAGGAGGAGATTGGATTTATACCCCGCCCTTCAGTTGGCATCTCAGAGCGGCTTACAAAGTCCTTCCTCTTCCCCTCCCCACAACAGACACCCTGTGAGGTGGGTGGGGCTGACTGACACAAACTGCTCTTTCAGGAACAGCTGTGCCAGAGCTTGTGACTGGCCCAAGGTCACATCAGCCGGTGCAAGTGGAGGAGTGGGGCATCAAACCCGGTTCTCCCAGATTAGAGTCCGCGCACTTAACCACTACACCAAACTGCTCCCTCTAAGCTGTGGGCTCTTGTGAGCAAAAATTCTACTTTGTGAGCTACGGGCATTAAAGTTGTGAGCGAGTGATTTGGTTGCTGCATAAGTTAGTTTGCTCTGGAGCCATCTTTCCTGAGCTGAGACAAAAATCTGAGCTGGAGGTTAAAAAACTCTGAGCTAGCTCACACTAACTCAGCTTAGAGGGAACACTGGTTGTATTCGCTTTGTATTTCCTGCAGGTCTCTCGCTCCTGCTAGAAGGACCTTTCACAAGCACCACCTTACCTGAGATCTCATTTAGCGGGAGATGTCCAGTACTGAATCAGAGACCTTTTGTGCTCAGAGCAGGTGCTCTGCCACTGAGCCACAGTCTGTTCCCCAATGGCCACCTCCTCCAACAGTGCCTTACCCAGCTTAGCCAATCCACATACCACCTGCTGTATTAATGGGGGGGGGCACCTCTTGTTCCAGGGCCTCATACTGCCGAGATCAGGTGACATCCAGTGCAAAATACACACATGGCACCACCGCTTCCCAAGGCCGCAAAACACGCCCGCAACCTGAACTGCAGAAGCTTGTTAGTTCTAACCAAGCGGCACCGAGTCACCCACCTCTCAGCTTGCCAGCCAGCACTGTTCAGAACGAAGGATGAAATGCGAGAAGATGCAGATGGAGCAGGATGAAGTGCAAACAGCGATGGGAGAGATTGAGAGAGAGAGAGAAAGGAAACACAAAAGAGGAGAATGGTCTCAGATGGGCATTTCACAAAGGCAACGTCGAGGCATGGGGAAAATCCACTCAATGGGTAGCAAGGTAAAGTCCGAGACCAGGCTGCAACAGCACAGAGTACGGGATGCTGAAGGCACCATACCATTTTCAAACATGGCCACCTATAGCAGGGCTTCATCTGCAATGGAGTATAATGGAAGCATCGTCAGCCACTGTGGCAGCAAAGTTTGAGAAACTGGGGTGCTGCTTGGCCAGCTACGCTTAAAAGCAGACAAAAAAAGCCATTCTGAAAAACTCTATTGATCTATACAGCTGATATCCATGGAAATCAACCAATACTGAGGACTGCTCCAACTCTTCAGCAATACTTCAGACCCAGAAACTCAGTTCGTTCATTCTGGTTTGCATTTGAGAGCTGCCTGCAGGCACGGGGATTTCCACAAAAAAGACCTCTTCCTTAGGCTTCAAGGATTAGTGTGCTTTTATTGTTGCCAGTGTTCAGACTTATTGAATATATATATACACACACACACACTGGTGTTCAAAGGCCCATGAGACAGTTTGGGAGGCCTTAGGGCACACTTTTTAACATGAATGCGTAACTCACTGGAGGATAATATTTTAGCACATGTCGGCATCCAAAAAGGGGCAAATGGCTATGCTTATAATCGGATCCTATCCACTTGCAGCTGCCATAGCATCGGTTCAAGGCCCGCCACCAGCACTTGGACAGCGTCACCCTGCTTGTTTCCTGCTGTACAAGGAAGCTCACTTGGCCTCAGCTCCTTGCCAGTGCCAGCAGCTCCTCCAGACTGCAAGAGCAACCCAAGGATGATGCTCCGGAAGTCTCAGCCCTTCCCTCATATCACAGAGCCCCTGTGCACTGGCATTCCTGTCCCAACAGGCTCATTGCCAATGCGAGGGCCATGGTGCCAGCGTCTCCCCCTGGGGTGAGGCGTGACCCTTAGAGAAGCACCTGGCACCTTTCGCTTCCATCTATACTCTGTTGCCACTTCACATCAAGCTGCTCTTCTGGGGCTACTCAGACATCTGCAGAGCATCCACTTGGCCTTTCGCCCAGCCAGCTGTTCCAAACCCCTGAGGACAGGACACCACCCTTCCAAGCCGACTCCCTTCCCGTGCAGCAGGCCAGAGGCTCACAGAGGTCTATGACCGTTGGTTCAGACACACGGTCTCACCTGTTCTTTGCTTCCAAAAGGAACACACCTGTGCCCACCTGGATCCTACAGCATTCCACCATAAAGCTGATGTTCCTATAGCCCTGCTATCTTCTGCAATGTGAATAAATCCCATTAAGCTAGGTTAGGTCTGTAGCAGGAAGGTAGCAGTGGCCACGATCCAGAGAGCTACTGTAGAGGGGAGGGCCCAGAAGCCCATACATGTCCAACAGGACATGCAACAGACGGCCCTGCGGACACCCTTGAGAGAGGACCTGGCTGGGAAAAAGAAGTAAAACTGTGCCGGGTACATGATTCTCTGTCAGCAGCTGTAAGAACCAGAGCCAAAATGTGGAATGGCAGCAAGGGGGCAGGGGCCACTGGCTTCAAAGAGGGATTGGACAGATGATTTTCATACTCAGATCGACTCTGTAACTGTGGCAGCAGTAACACTGACCGTGGATCATATTTTGCTTGACTGTCCCCAAATATTCAGCTCTTGAGAGATGAACTGATCTCCCCTTTATTTAATCAGGACTTCCTCTCTCCAGAAGCAAAATCATCCTGGTTACTTGGAGAAAAGGACAAACAAACTATCCTGTGTGCAGCAAAATTTCTAGCAGCTGGTGCCAAACCACAAGACAACTTTTGCAGTTGCAACCTTTAAATTCTTCCATGTTTTCCTGTGGAAGGAGGCTTATTGTGGGATGAGGGTTTGCTGTTTATGACTCTGGCTGCAAAAACAGTACAGACAATAACTATAATAAATTTTCTTAGGGCATTTGAAAGGTGACATGGATATCAGGGATAGGGAGCTACTTTGGAGTCTATCCACCGCTGCTAAAATGGTCGTAGCAGCAAACAGGAAGAAATTAGAGCCTCCTTTGGCAAACAGTTTAACATAGTAATACTCAGTGGCTCAGGAGTCACATGTAGGTCTTTTGAAAGTCACATGTAGCCCCACGGCTCTTCTGAGCACTGTTCCCCAAGGTGGCACCTGCCCTGGCTTTCAGCAAAGCAAGCTGGGTCATTGCCTGGTAGGGCTCACAGGTGGCAGGTGATCACTGAGTATAGGTAAACTGTGAGTCTCACTGTGTGCAGACCTCACGCCAGGAATGGAAATAAATGTGACACTGTTGGTTGAAGAAGAAGTAGAAGAGAAGAAGAGATTGGATTTATACCCCGCCCTTCACTACCCAAAGGTATCTCAGAGCGGCTTACAAACTCCTTTCCTTTCCCCTCCCTACCACAGACACCACTGCTTTTTAACTTGTTCATTAATGATTTGGAGATGGGAGTAAGCAGTGAAGTGGCTAAATTTGCGGATGATACAAAGTTGTTCAAGGTGGTGAAAACCAGTGAGGATTGTGAGGCACTCCAAGGGGATCTGTCAAGGATGGGTGAGTGGGCGTCAACATGGCAAATGGGGTTCAATGTGGCCAAGTGCAAGGTGATGCACATTGGAGCCAAAAATCCTAAATATAAATACACATTGATGGGGTCTGAACTGGCAGAGACTGAGCAAGAGAGAGATCTTGGAGTTGTAGTGGATAACTCACTGAAAATGTCGAGACAGTGTGTGACTGCAATAAAGAAGGCCAATGCTATGCTGGGGATTATTAGGAAGGGTATTGAAAACAGATCAGCCAATATAATAATGCCCCTATATAAATCAATGGTGAGACCTCATTTGGAATACTGTGTGCAGTTCTGGGCACCACACCTTAAAAAGGATATTATAGCTTTGGAAAAAGTGCAGAAAAGGGCAACTCGAATGATAAAAGGGTTGGAACACTTTCCCTATGAGGAAAGGTTAAAGCGCTTAGGGCTCTTTAGCTTGGAGAAAAGACGACTGAGGGGTGACATGATCGAGGTTTATAAGATTATGCATGGGAAAGAGCAGGTAAAGAAAGAGGTACTTTTCTCCCTTTCTCACAATACAAGAACTCGTGGGCACTCCATGAAACTGCAGAGCGGTCGGGTTAGAACGGATAAAAGGAAGTACTTCTTCACCCAAAGAGTGATTAACACATGGAATTCACTGCCACAGGAAGTGGTGGGTGCTACAAGCATGGACGGCTTCAAAAGGGAATTAGATAAGCATATGGAGCAGAGGTCCATCAGTGGCTATTAGCCACAAGGTATAGCTAGGGGCTCTGGGGCAAGTGATGCTCTGTCTTCTTGGTGCTTGGGGGGGGGGTCAACAGTGGGAGGGCTTCTAATGTCCTGGCCCCACTGCTGGACCTCCTGATGGCACTGGTATTTCTGGCCACTGTGTGACACAGAGTGTTGGACTGGATGGGCCTTTGGCCTGATCCAACATTGGCGTCTCTTATGTTCTTATGTTCTTATGTTCTGTGAGGTAGGTGGGGCTGAGAGAGCTCTTGACAGAAACGGCTCTTTTTCAAGAACAGCTCTTATCAGAGCTACTGCTTGCCCAAGGTTGTCCAGGCAGGTACAAGTGGAGGAGTGGAGAATCAAACCCGGTTCTCCCAAATTAGAGTCCGCACACTTAACCACTACACCAAAAGAAATGCAAACACGGCTCTCTGTCACATGCAGAGTGAGAACCACCAGTTAGACAAGTTCTGATCTTACTGCTCTACTGGGAAAATCAACCAGAGAATGCAAAGGAGTAATAATAAACACTAAGTATTAATATGTTTTGGAATAAGGAAATAAGTAACACAATATATCTTCTTGCTTTTGACAATCCTTTCTAGATTAGTCCCACATTATATTTCTTTTTCTTTCTGGATAATTGTGGCTTTTTTGTCTTCCAGTTATAAAAAGAGGGATTAGATAAATCCATGGGACTTGGATGGAACCTCCTTGTTTAAGAACAGTCTATCACTGAATACCAGGTTGTAGGGACAAACGACAGAAGGACTGCTGGCCCAGATACCTTGCTTGGGGGGCTTCCGTTGGAGGACTCTGGCTGGCCACTGGTGGGGAAAAGGAGGCTGTACTAGATGGGCCTCTGACCTGATCCAGCAGGGGTCACCTTACATACTTTAAGGATAGTTGCTTCTAACGGCATAGCTTGCCCAAGGTAAGGAATGGATGCAACTGCAGCTTGCGACTAGCCCAAGACATCCTGACAACCTGAGAGACAAGCAGCAAGGTTAAGAATACAAGAGCAGCCTTGCTGGATCAGACCAGTGGTCCATCTAGTCCAGCATCCTGTCTCACACAGTGGCCAGCCAGTTCCTCTGGAGGGTGAAAAACAGGACACAGTGGCAGAGGCATTCCCCTGATGTTGCCCCCTGGCTCTGGGATTCAGAGAATTAGCGCCTCTGAAAGTGGAGGTTGCCCTCAGTCAGTATAGCTAGTAGCTACTGTATCCTCCATGGATCTAATCTCCTTTTAAAGCTGATATGGTTCCTCCCTGCAGTGATGCACAGGTGGGGGGGGGGGGAGAAAAGAAGAGATTGAATTTATAACACCGCCCTTCACTGCCCAAAGGAGTCTCAGAGTGGCTTACAAACTCCCTTCCCTTCCCCACAACAGACACCCTGTGAGGTAGGTGGGGCTGTGAGAGCTCTGACAGAAACTGCTCTTTTTCAAGAACAGCTGTGCCAGAACTATGGCTTGCCCAAGGTCATCCAGCCAGGTGCAAGTGGAGGAGTGGGGAATCAAGCCCCGTTCTCCCAGATTAGAGTCCACGCACTTAACCACTACAGCAAAGGAGAGTCCAGGGTGAAACAGATGACATGCCTGACTAA